CTTTCTAAGCAGAAAACTCTTCCCAAAGTCTTGTTATCTCACTCATTATCACCAACATGTCCATTCACAGAAGCACTCTTATTTGAAGAATGTTAGGCAGGGGATGGATTCAGCAGAGTGCCTTTGGGCCAAGTCATCCAAGATCAAGCAGTCAGGGACGGGGCTACCCAGTCTTCCTAACAGACATGCGGAATTGGCTTTCTTCTCCCGTCCCCAGGCTGCCACATTCTCGTGGCAAGCGATCAGCAGTGATAATAACACCGACGCTATTTTTAAACGCACCATCTTTGTGCTACGCCGCTACTGTAGGAGTAAAAGCTGATACTCAATAGGCTTCTTGTAATTTCCACCACCACAGCAGAGGTTTGATTTGCAGCTAGAGCAGCAGCAATCATATTATACCCCCGCAACGCCACCAGAAGTTTTTGTGACCTGAAAACTTGCCATAATTGAAAAATACAGAATAACTGAATATCTGTAATCGTGCAAATATCCATTTCTAAAAAGTGGGCTTTCTGTTTCTGTTAGGGCGGGACCCAAGTTCTTTTAAGAAGAAGACAAGTCATAAGTATAATAAAAGGTTGGGCACTGCCTGCCGCGGGCAATGGCTCACCCACAAAACACCTGGTTTCAAGCTGCATAGGAAGGCAGCAGAACCACAAAGCATTGCAGCAGCCCAGAAGCTCTGCCGGGGTGAGAAGAGCATCTCAAACCTACTTCCAGGAGTGGGGTTCAAACCCCAACCTCCCCAGCCCTCCTCAGATGTACAACCGAACCCACAATGCCCACTGGGTAGAGCTCTGGGGAGGATCTGCAAGGCTCTATGACTGACCGGCTGAGGCTAACCATCCACTTCTTGGCTGATTCTTCACTCGGCCTATCCCCTCTCGCACTCTGAGAGAGCAATGGATTTGATGGTTTGCAAGCTTCCCACGAATGGGAGCTTGGCACCTGAACCACCCAGATCTTTCTTCATGTGATTGGTAGTAGAACAAAGAACAATGAGGCACATGACAGCAACCAGGGGTGTACAACATGGACTGTGCAAGCAATATCATTCCACTAAGCATGTAGAAATGGCAAATGATTTGGGAGGTATCTTAAAAAAACCCACCCAGATGAGCTCAGGCCAGAGTAGAATGAAAGAAATGGCATCGTAGACTACATGCTGGGGTATCAGATGGCGTGGTGGTTATGCATTGGGCTGCAAGGTCAGCAGTTTGGAACCATCAGGGATTCCTTGGGGAAAAATAAGGGGCTTTCTACTCCTCTTAAGAGTTACGGTCTCAGAAACTCACAGTGGCAGTTCTACCCTGTCCTTTAGGGTCATCGTGAGTTGGCGTCAACTGGACGGCAGTGAGTTTTCAAAGTGTTGAGGTAATGGGAGTCAGCAAACTCTAACTGAAGGCTAAAGCATGGAAACCACCTGTTGAAACTCGTGTCAAAATGCATCAGTGAGCTGGCTGAATGAATGGCCCTGAGCTTATTCATGGGGCCCTCCATATTCCCTTGTCACACAGAGAAGCAGGCAGTGAGTCCATCACTCATGTCTGGTACTTCGCTACAGTATGTGGATGGCATAAAGACAAGTAAAGCATAGCCTATGCCCCCAGCAGACCCAGATGCCATGAACCTAGACTATAACAAATAGGTGAATGCCAAACCAGCTGCCATAAACTACCCCAATTCACAGTGACTCCTGGGGCTGCGGGTAGAACTGTGTTTCACTGGTTTCCAATGACTTTGATCTTTTGAAAGGAGACTCGCAAGCCCTTCTTAGAGTCTTCTGGATCAGCGGGGTTCTCAACCTGTGGGTCACAACCCCTTTGGGGGTTGAGCAACCTTTTCACAGGGGTCGCTTGATCCATAACAGTAGCAACATTCCAGTGATGAAGTAGCAATGAATATAATTTAATGGTTGGGGGTGGTCGCAGCCGTAGGAAGGTTGAGAGCCACTGCTCTGGATGGATTCGCGCTGTAAATCTTTTGGTTAGTAGTCCAGTGCTGTAATCCTTTTTACCATCCAGGCACTCCAGAAAAAGTCAAGAACCTGCAATAGATGGAGAGGACCCCCCACCTGGCTGATGGCTATGGGGGGCTTCCCATTAGTAATCAAGCCGATGTGAAGTCTGTGATGACAGATAACAGGCAGGACACACCAAGGAGACAGCGGGAGCTGAGACAGCTCAGTGCAGTGGGAGCATGAAAGTACGGAGAAGGGAGGAGACCGAGGCCGGGACAGGGTGCTCTGTGTGC